CGATCTTCGCACCTCAATATTCCGGGGACGGGGAGCGTCTGCCTGTGACACCTACGCAGCAGTCGGATGTTTTTCCCCTAATTCGGCATGGGTGGGCGTGGCCCTCCCGCCTCTCCTTGCTCCTCTGCTTGTCACACAACTCCGTCTGCAATCAGCCGTAACCACTAACCCCAGTCGGCCCTCCTACCCATCTTCAGCCCGCTGTATGCGAACCCCACGTTTGTCAACCGCTCCTCAGATCCTTATCGCGACTCTTGTGGTAGAGGTTCAGGCTTCAAGCTTGATTCGGGTAGTTCCCCAGGGGTTTATGTTTCAGGTTTGCATGCCTACATTCTACCCTCGTGCAACCGTAGCCTACGCACATCATTTAACCTCCGTGTCAGTGCACCGCATTTGGGTTAACCCTTGTCAGTGAGTAAAAACCCAGCAATGTCCTTTGGAGGGAGATGAATCCCTGTTTTAAAAAAACGGGGAATCCCACAATGAGGTCTGAGAGAGCGCCGTGACTTCCAGGCAGCAGCGCTTTGGAGAACACGAGGGCGTCACCTCATTGAGGGATTAAAGAGTGATTCTCTGTGGTTGAAGATGACTTGAAGAATTCTGCTATGGGAAAGTTTGGTGAGGGTTGTTGAAATTCCTCATGGGGGAACGTGTTGACCTCAAGGTTGACCTGTAAGCGTCAGCTTTTATGTGTGTTTGTGCTGTGGGGTCTGCTACGGGCAATTGTTTTTGTGTCTGTAATGTAGCATTAGCATGAGCAGGCTCCACTAATCCTGCCAGGTGCTCAGTGGAGCCCTTGAGGCTTCATTACGATTTGTAACTGTTCCTGCTTTGTTGTGTTGTGCTGATCAGCTGCAGTGTGTCGACTCAACAGTTCAGTTTCACATTGAGGTATTTATTGTACACTGTCCATAGTACAGTGAACATACTGATAAGGACTCGGCCTTTCTCAGAGCCGAGAACAGCCGTTGGCTAATAAAAAGATATAGGTATCTATTTACAAGATATAGGTATCTATCTATAGGTATAAGATAAGTATCTTTTAGAACTTGGGACAGTGTGGTCCTCTAAATTAGTCCCAAAGTAAATGAACCTGCTAATGTGATCCACTACACTCAGAATCATAGAAATGTTGCTGGACAATATTGCTTTAAACACAATGAAAATGTTTCTTAAATATATTCCTATTGCTGTTACATGTAGCAGTTTTCCGATGTCTCCAAGCAGGTTTACAACATTCAAATCTAGTTTCTCTCATGAGACTGTCAGTTGAATCGGTGAGCTGTCGTCTTTGGTTAGAAGCTGTAGCTGTTCAGGGGGATTAATGTGTCCACATTAGATGGCCAGACATTGTTCAAATCCACAGGAGTTCCCAGAGGAAGGACTCTTATTTAGGGAGAGCCCAACTTGTCCCATCAAGCAGAACACACCTAATAATGAGCTTTTTGTTCTTCCTCTGACCAACTGATACTACATTCAGTCAGGCTAAAACACTTTAATCAAAACAAGGACATAATTATATGTGTGCCGCTGTGTCTTTAGATTGCAGGAGTAGGGACACCCTTGTGTTTCCAGGAAAATAAAGATTGAGCGCTACAGTGGGAATCTCCCAGCAGGATTCACACGATGGATTTCTTCGAAAATGCTGACACATATTCCCATAAAGTGACGGATCAAGCTGGGACTTGTAGGAAGAGCAGACAGCCGTTTAGTTTGAAACTAAACAGCTCATATACTCTCATGGTATAATTACCTAGGAAGGCTGACCACAAAATCTGCCTAATACGTTGTTGCTTAAAATCAAAAAGCCACAGGGAAGACAATAAATACACACGATGAGGGAGACAGAACATTGCATTAAGTAAAAATGTATTAGGACGTGGGATGGCGAAAAAAACAACAACAACAAAGGTTGTCAAGTGAAACAGCCTGCTCTATGTCAAAATCTTGTGCATATTATGGAGAATTACATTTTTTTTTTTTTTTAGAAGAACCATATTCTGTCAGCTCTCTTAGCTTCCTGTGTCACACGTGGCCCAAACAGGCTCTTAATCCTTCCCTTAAGGTAGAGACTCATCCGGTCAATGAATGCGAGAACAATAACGGGCTTTGTGCACACACCCTTTGTGAAAATCAGTTGAAATATCCTAATTTGATTTCCTTTCTGCATTGCTGAAATGCACATGAGGCAAGCACGGGCTTTCCCGTTCAGGAGATAAACTGACTAAAACGAACGAAGCGCTTCATCAACAGTCTGCCGGCGCCTCTGGTTTCATTCCTTAGATGTTATGCGACAAGCAGCTGATCTGGTCGGTTAACTCCCCCGGGGATTGACAAGGCGTGTTTATGGTGCGAGGCGGCGGGGAGGTTTAAGGAAGATTGCATGGGACTGTCTGGTGCACCTCCTTTCCTTTGCCGACACTGAGCTCATTCCACCAATGGTTATTGGCTCAGTGCTGCCTCTGATTTTAGAATAACTTGCGCTGTTGTGCACCACAACAACAAGCAACTTCGTTCTTTTTTTGTCCATCCACATCCTGATAAATGTTTACTTAATGCAATGTTCCGTCTCCCTCATTGTGCGCTTTAATTGCCGTCTCTTTTTCCCAGGCTGCGAGCAAACAGCCTGAAATTGCCCCCCCCCAGAGGGTGACAAACCTTTCCAGAGTAATAATTATACCTGTTTACCCCCAACCCAAGGTGGGATTGTAAATACCAGAGATGAGGAAAGTAATTCTTAAGTAATTGTTGGAAAATGTTAAATGGGCACATGGCCGTATCAGGCTAATAACAACCATCTCCTCTTAAATTCATCCTGCGTGCCAGGCTGGCAACATGGCTGATTATCCTTTGGGGAGGGCCCCCCCGGAAGGGCCCCCCCTTTCACCCCAGATCCGTTTAGTTGGACATGCGCTGCCCTTGTCATGTGATCTGGAGCTGTGGAGTGAATCTGAGGACGAGGACCTCACCCCGATCTCACGTCATACTCAGAGGTCCCCGTTAAGGCCCCAGTTGGAGATTACTCCTGACACGAGTTCTGAACACACCAGAGGATCTGCAGTCAGTCGGGACTGAGAAAACTTCAAAGAAGCTATTAAGAGGTTCATTGGAGAGAACATGCTGCGTTTACCAACTGGGGGAAAAGAAAGACGTGGAGGAAGACACTGACTGTGCTGACCCTTGCGGAGGTCAAAAACGCTGTTTTCGTTACTTTAAACAGATTGCTTTTCTGTGTGATGGATTCATACAGGCAGAAAAATATGATCTTATTAAGCACATTCAACTATTGCATGTCAACCCTTCTCTGAATGTCGTATCTTATAGTATAAATGTTTACAAAAGTTTCATATTTTCTTCACATCGCTCACTCAATAACATTTCCCAGATCCCCGGCCCCTCTCGTAGTGCACGGGAAGGCTTTGATGAGGGCTCCCATCTGGAATTACCAGAGAAATGCAAAACAGAGTGTACGCGATGACACTCGTCTGTGTTTTCTCACCCTGCAGCCCGCTGGGGAAGAGGTCAGGCTGATTAGATAACTGTTGTGTATGCAGGGCTCACGCGAGGGGGGTCCGATCCCCGACACGGAGAGCTTATACTACCACAAGACATCAGAGTATAGACAAGATTGTGTCCTCCACACTTGAAGTGACATTATAAAGTTGGAACACTTTTCGCAACAAGTTTTGCAGTTGCATCAGTCAGTGGTCATTTCCTGAGTAAATGTGTTGAGTAGCATATTTAGCAAGAACTGTATTTTCCGTCTCTGCGTAGTTTAGAAAAACAATTTACATACAAATATGAACTGCATTTAAACTGGGATTTCTTGTTGTTGCCCTCTCTGCCCTGACCTTTGGCCCAGATGACAGCAGCCATGTGGTCAGATAACAGTGGAATGCGCTTAACACACAGGGCCCGACTCATTCTTGCTCAGTGAACACAAACATCCTCTTGAAATGATTAGTGGGGAACAAGTTCTGGTTCAAGATGCTCGGTACACGCATGTGGCCAAGTGGCAGCTACTCACACAAGGAAGGCCTCCTGTGCTGATGATGACGTGAACCCGCCTCCGAGTCAAATCGTACTGTTTTCATAACAGACCGGGTCATTGACCCCCGTCCTGGAGCTCCCCACATGGCTCCAGGACAAGTTGTAGGTGGGGTATGAATAAAGTTGACCTCCAGGCTACGTCAGTAACGCAGTCACACTGTGCCGTATCCTCACTGATTCCACATCGCTTGTACATTTGTAGAAGAATTTGAAGAATGTGTCATATGTATGTTCTTTTTCAATCAAACTGCAAAGAGAAAACTAAATTTCATTTAAATTGGATATTTGTTTTCAAAAGGCTGTCAGCACTTATTTCTTCAAGTTAGGCCGCATGACTGTTTGTATCTTAATTCACTGATGATGTAAAGACCAGCCTCTTCTGAGACGACATTTAAAACCCTTGTCCTTGTGGAGGAGGAAAACTAAATATTTCCGGATGATGAAATGGAATTCTTTTCTAGGTTGAGTTAAACATAAAATACACTGAACTGCTTGCAATCCTATCTACCTTCAACTGATCCCTTCACTGTGTTTAAGAAGACATCATAATGGCATACAGTCGTACATTTATCCTGTTCACATCCCCGTACAAATTGATTGAATTTTTGTAATGTGATTAGTTTGCTTATATAAGTTGCCATTGATAAACACTTCCTCTCCTTCCACCACTTGTTGCCAAACAGGAAGCTGCCCACCACCAGCTTGAGGAAGACTTACTCCATCCAACTTTCTACTTCCACTTATGTTCCAACTAATTTGCATGCGGCACAAACATGATGCAACCTGCACGGACACCCCAGTGGTGCAGGGGCCCTAAGAGAGAGCTCACACCAACACAACCGTGATTCCCGTACAGACATGTCATTTTAGTCTAGTTCAACATTTAAAATCATTCCTAATTCAGTGTCAAGCATATTCTTCTTTTAAATGACAAAAGCTTTCAAATGCAGTTGTTTGTTTTAAACAGGACATGACTTTTATTCATTGCTGAGTGCAGTAAGTAGAAATCTCTATCAGTGCATTTAATTGTCAGTAAGAATAGACATAGGCAATAAGGAAATCCTGCGCAGAACAAAAAAATCACTTCTCTGACCTATTTCTTCGCAATTTAAAATAAAAGAAGCCCTGTTCAATTTATATCTTGGTATGTCGTTATGTTAATTTAATAGATGCTAATCTAAAGTTAGCACCACAATTTACCACAGAAATGTACAAATATACAGGCACATGTAGCAACAATATTGTTCATGTCTGTTCATGAACCCCAGGCCTCTCGAGGCAGAGAATTGTGCTGAACACAACTACGAAATGCTCCACATGAAAATGGAAATGAGTAGTAATAGGCAATACACAGATAATACTGCAGAGCTGAGGCTGTCAAGTCCAAACCTTTGCCCTGAGATAAGAGATAATACCTCCTTAGCAGATGTTCCAAAAGGCAATTATTTCAAGAAGGTTCATTTCTCTAAGGAACAATGAATTTAATACCTTTCGTGTTGTGGATAGCAACCCCCGCCATCACACTGATGACTCATTGTGGAAGACTTTAGCTTTGAGATGTCTCAAGCTGCACTGAAGGTTTGAGGTGGTTTCCGACTGCAGCGCCTCTGAGAACTTGACGTCAATCGAACGGTTCCCCTGAGACTTCCTCTTGATGGAGTTCTGGATGGTCTCAGAGGTGAAATAGTAAACAATGGGATCAAAGCAGCAGTTGGACACAGCGATGCAGAGGGCTATCGGGTAGATCGTCCGGACCACCGACTCCACAAAGCAGCCTTCTAAAGTTTTAGTGCGGACCAAAGCGTAGAAAACCAAGTTTACGTTGTAGGGGATGAAGCAGAAGCAAAAAATGAAGAGGTGCACAATTATCATGCGCAGGATCTTTTTCTTGTTCAGCTTCCCCCCACGGCCGACCGTCCTGGGGCGACGCAGAGTGTGCAGCACCATGATGGAGCAACACACGTTGAGTAGAAGCGGGATGACGAAGCCAACCGTCTCTATGAATATCACCACCTTGGACAGGTGAGCTTTCCACTGTTTGGAGGAGAAGTTCTCGAAGCAGAAAATGGCGGCGTTGGTCTTGTTGTTGTTGGGCGAGGTGGTCTCCAACAGGAACCCCGTGGGAAGACTCCCGGACAGCACCAACACCCACACGGCAACGCACACTATCTTGGCGTTGCGCTTGGTCCGGAGTGCCCTGGAGCGAAAGGGGTACACGATGGCTAGGAAGCGATCCACGCTGATGCAGGTGAGAAAGAGTATGCTGCCATACATGTTGGTGTAGAAGAGCGAGACGGAGACCTTGCACAGCGTGCTCCCGAAAGGCCAGTTCCCGTTGATGAAGTAGAAGACCCTCAGAGGCAGCGTGAAGACAAACAGCAGGTCAGACACGACCAAGTTCATCATGTAGGTCGTTGTCTCGTTCCTCAGCTTCAGGGTGCAGGTGAATATGTAAATGGCCACGACGTTGGTGAGCAGTCCCACCACAAACACAATGCTGAAGACAGTGCTGTACAGCGGGTATTTGAAGCCGTCGTTGATGCAGTTGGAGCTGTTCGACAAGTCCTTTTCAGCCCAGGGCTGGTAAGAGTTGTTGGGAGGGAGGGTACCGTTGTACATTCTGAGAGACAAAGAGTGGAGGGACGAGGGGTGTCTGTTATATAAGAGCCATGTAACGGAAGGGCTAGCCTGCACAATGAATTCACCATGAATGGAGAGTAAAGCACAGAACCGTCCTACACCAGGACACTCATGGGTCCTCTGATAATTCAGGCCATTGGTACAAAGGTTTCCTTCCAACACAACTGCCCATGTTAGAGAGGATTGTAGCACATGGTCAACATGAGTCCATATCTTGATGTGGATATCTTTGGGGTTACCTCCTATAAAAGATCCCTCCTGAAAGACAGAGATTCAGGCAGGAGCGTCCTCCCCTCCCCCTGTCCTGTCTCCCGGGCAGACGGCAGCCAACAAGTTGTAGACTGAGCTTCACTTACTCAGATTAGTCAGTCAATCAATTGCGTCTCCTTTTCACTCAAGACGTCCTTAATTCCCACGAGTGGCTGAGTCCGGAGAAGAAATGATAGCAAATCCACATTCAGGTCCCGTAGAGATGTCCACATGGCAAAATCCTTTCTCTTTGTCAAAACTCAGGTCCTGTGTTTTCGTCCTTCTCGAAAGCTGAAGAGTTATTGTTGGCTTTCCAGCGCCCACAGGGTCCTCACCACAAACTACCAGCCTTATGCAAAGGAGCTCTGGTGCTTTGAATGTGCCACAATGTGAGCGTCTCACTGTTTCCCTCCTAGTTCCTTCTCTTCTTTACTGACTGCGTCACTCTGGGTCTACTTCTCAGTCTCTTTCCTCCAGTTTGTCTCTCTCACCCAGCTCGCAGCTTTAGCTTTGCACGCATCACACTCAGACACACACGCTTCTTCTCCTTTGTGGCAGTATCACAAGTAGCTTTTGTACTTCGGGAGGGAGAGCAGCCTTGGTAAGCCCTCCCACTGGACTCCTCCTACTCCTTTGTCTGCTCTACAATTGGAGTAGGAATCAACCACATGGTGAGGGAATTCATCAATGGTTTGTAAATACTCATCATTTGCTGTAATACCGTCGCTATAAACAAACTTATTGATACATAAATAGAAAATGAAATGAATATTTACCCCCAAAAAACGTTTTTAACTATTGTAGGGCATATGCTAAAAATAACCTTTTAATAAACAATATTACATGTGATATCCAAACTGAGTTTAACATTAATATAATTTGCTCTTTTACTGTTATGCACAAATCTCCCAGAGCATTCGTGGTACTCAAATACTACTTTATAACTATTATTATATTATTATTCCTAGTTCCTTAATTACTTTGAAGACTACTTTGTTATATTACCTATATTATTAAATTATCCTAATTACATCTAAATTAAAAGGAGCTATATTTCCACTAGATGCATTATAAAATGCTGCTTATACATCCATGGATGGATAATACAATTGCAATAATAAAATACTAATAATATAAAGCTGTGAGAAACAATTGTTGTGAGTGGAGTATTTCTATAGAGTGGTTAGGCTAGGGTGGTTAGGTTAGTTCACTTTTACATAAAGCCTCTTCCACCACAGAAACGTCAAGAAAGTGAAGACAATTGAATTACGCTTGATTGGTTTTGTGAACGTGTGGGTTTGCTGTCAGCATAGTCAGGAAGTCAAAAGTTCAGTAAAAGCTCACTAAAACCCTGTAATTGGTGGAGGTGACGGCCTCCCCGAGTCCGATGGGCGTAGCGCCAGGATTGAACCGTCCCCTGGTTGTGTTTGACAGCGTGTGTGGGCAGCAGCTCTGCCAGAGAAGCACTGTTACATTATGCAGGGGACATATAACAGAAAGCTTTATCTATTCATTGGCTTTTCAGTCGCTCAGGTCAGCCCATGTGCACAGCTTTCTCTTTATCAGCGTTGCAAAATAGCATTCAAGTTCTCCTGTAGAAACTCCCCACTTGGTAGTCAGTAAAAACATTGAGGCCTTTGTTCTGAGCGAAGTAGCTTAGCAGGTAGGAATGTGAAGTTTATCAATAATTAGTCTCAGAACACATAAAAGTGCTCGGAGCTTTGTGATAGGTTGTGCTGCCTTACGTGTTGTAAATTGTTCCATCTATCTATGCTTCCTAATTGGGTTTTCCTCTCAGCTAAAACATTTGAATCTCCAACAAATTCCCCCTTTGTAAAACCACGCAAACATAGGGAAGCTTAGCCTGCAGATTGTTATTGAACACAATAATATTTCTCCACTGATTCAAAAATATCTCGCACAGGACCAAAGAGACAGTGGGGGTTTTATGGCCACTGTGCCTCTCTTTGTCACTCTACCACAAAACAAACACCATCAAGGGCCGAGTGAAATGTCCGAGAAAAATAGAACAAACCTGTACTATTGTCTTTCACTTGCAAAACAGTTCTATTCAACACATAAAAACAAGCTCTTCACATGCAAGCATGTGGCTGCTAAACAAAAACATGTGCCTGAAATCCCTCGACTGTTGCATTTCTCACAATGCCAGGAAACGGCCTGGCACCCCCCAGGCCGAGACTCAAGGCTTACAAGGGTACAAGAAAGAGGGCAGGTGACGTAATATTGTTGTGTGTCACGATCAGAGACGGACAGAAGCGTAGTGAGACACAGGACACACGTTTGGTGATGACCTCAAAACGTATTTTAAAAGAATGCACCTGGAAAATGACTTCATAACAAAAAGGTAAGCGATCCAACAAAAGACTGAACCATAATGTTAAACTTCTTGAATTGACACAAACTTTAGTTTCACAGACGGACCAGACAAACTCCACTCAGCTAACGGGTTTCCCTGGACGGGAGCTCGGGGCATGTTTTGGTCCAGGAGAACAATACAGCTGGTTGAACAGGGCCGCAGACCAGAGCTGTGGGCTGAAATGTGCTAATAAGGCGGTAAACCTGCAGCGAACGCGTCCCTTTGATACGAGCCATTCGGCCGGTGGCGTTACATACTTACATGAGGGTGGAGTCAACTCTCAGCTAGAAAGGGGGATGCCCGCACTTCCCAAAATGTCAAATTAGTCATTTAAAACAGATGTCTAGTGGTTACTTGTTTTTACTTCACTCTAATGGCAACTCAACTTTTTTGACGCGTTTAAATACTCCTTGAGACATCTCCACTTGTCTTTAATTGTCTTTTATGTTGTTCATTCGCCGTGTCACGTTCACTCTGTCTCGCTCACGTTCCACGGTCCAAAAAAAATATTTAACGTCCCACAAACACCAACACCTGTGCCAGGTAATCCACCTGATTATATTGACCTCGCGGCCTAACTGAAACACAACCTCCCACTACCTGGGGCAGGGCCCAATACGTTGATTGAGCAGTCGATCTTGAAGACAGTACCAGTCGATCACGTGCCATCAATAAAAAAAAATGCGTGACGTGTATGACGTCACGCATGCGCGGTCTACCGAAACGAATGCCATTTGGCGACCCTTGCTTATTAACGGACGCATTAAATTTCATTCCAAAGTTAGTTAAAAAGTAGCTCACGAGCCGGAAAAGTGTGGGCAGCCCTGACTTACAAAAATGGCTCCTACAATTACATTGTAAAACCTCATTCAATTTGATGAAGAATAAGGGCTCGTTCAGCACTCTAAACCCCAAGTAGGTTTAACTTTGGAATCAACTTTGGGATTGAGGAGATTTAAGACTCAACACTCCTTTGTGACTTTCAAAACAAGTACTTAATCCCACCTCTTGAAGAAGATCTAAAACACCAAAAATGAGCGAACCAAATGAAAACTGCTGAACAAATGTCTAACTTGGCCGGAATACATTCTGGACCCTGGACCACTTCCCTGCGACTCAATGGGCTTTTGGGTTCATTCCATCCGCGTTCACCTTGGAAACAGAGGCCGCACGAATGTTGTGCTGGCGTAAAGAAATAAACAAATGACAAGGGAAGCGAACACAAACCAGCAGAACTGCTGAGCCCAAGGAAGTGTTCCGAGTGCAGTACAGAACTCTGAGACATCTTTCATCATAAAGAATAAATAAAAGGAAAATATGATTTGCCAAAGAGATTGAAAAGAGACAAAAGAGAAGCTCAATCAGCGTGAGTTTTAATACATTAAATAAAGCCTTCCATGTTAGGGCGAATTCTTACTTTATTGTCTTTCTCTTCTCTTATAAAAATAACTGTCCGGTGGCACCTTCGATGGAATTTATTGTCTTGACATTTGAAAAGCGTGTCCTGCTGGTGCTTCACGACTGGCTTATCAACTGAAAGCTTTTGACTGTTTTGTAAAACAAATACTCCACACCCACCCACAAAACTCCCCTCCATTAAAGTTTTTTTTTTTTTTTTTTTTACACAACAGTATCTGTAGTGCCAAAACCAACAACAAAACTGTACTAAACTAACTCGTTTTAGGGCTGCATTCACATTTCTCCCAGTAAGCCAAGTGCTTTGTTAATAGAGCGGGACCAACCGTATTGGTGCATGCAATTAGATGGTTTCATCTTCAGTCTACATTTACATGTTTTGCTGCGTGATCTCGACCTACGAGAGGTAAACTGTGGGACTTCTGATGTCAATTTGGGATCAAGGGTAAACTAACCTACGCAGCAATTCAGAGAGGTATTTAGGAGGCACAGACTAGTCAGCTAATGTTTGATTATAGATTTCACAGAAACTGGAACATGAAACTGGAAACTAACACACTATGGCAGCCAGAAATGGAGATGTGTTATCACAATCTACAAATACACAAGGTGAGTAAAAGAGCGAACCACATAGCAAACCCACGCGTTAACACCATTTAACAGATCTCCATCAACCCAACAACTTCCTGTCAACAGACATTTGACCCAAAGAAAGAAACCGAAGTTGATTCTCAACTTCTACTGAAGTAGAACTTTGAATGCGGATCTAATTGCAACTATTTGCAACACTTTTTCAATTCATTAGAGTATACATCTTCAAATATACATCTTTTAGGAAAACCAAAGGACTTTGAGATCAAACTAATTCATAAATTACTGGAATTCACTCAGAGTGAGTGTGTGGGTGAGAGGAGTGACTGCGAGATCCTCTTTGTGGCAGTGGCAAGTGGGTGGCAACTTTGTGGCAGGCAGCGGCAATCGCCAGTAAATCAGTCGGCGTCACGACGGCACGCTGGGTGGGAGGAGCCAATTTTTCCCAGAAACAACTGTTATTTGTACGACAGGTCAGCTGCTGTAAATATTTAATTTTATTTAATTTTATTTGAGACACGTGAGCCCCCGTCTTCTTATTACAGAGGCTAATTTTAGGTTTGGACCGGCGGGTTCCGTGTAGGGGGTGGGGCTCTCAAGTTTGATGCCACCCACTTGCCACTGCCACAAGGAGGATCTCGGCCTTACTGGGTGAGAGAGTGTCGAGGGCTTGTATGTGGCAGACGGCCAGGTACTGTTGGCAGCTTAGTGCAGTTCGTCATTTCCTTCTAAAAACAGTTGAACTTGTGTGTCAGCTACATTGAGTCATTTTGGGTGACAATGTACATATGTTTAGTCTGAGGCTTTATCCACATAAAAACAATATTAACATGACTGACAGCCCAATTCCGCACATTATACTCTTAAAAGGCCCCATTTCCAAACCGACCAGTAGTTGTCGGGAGGGGGGGGGATTCTGGCAAATGTAGAGAAAATTTGTCAGACTGGGCGTTACCTTTGAAGCCACGTGCACATGAATCTAACATGATTTGTTTTGGGAGTAGCCATTAGCTGGAACGGAATAACTGAATTATCGTCCGTGGGCTGCTGTTCTGGCTTTCATCACGATATCTCCAAACATGCTGTCTGTTAGGGCTCATCATGTGATGAAGCTTATCATTTTTTGTTTTTGTCGAGACAGTAAAAAAGAAAAAAAAAAAACTAAATCCTTGCATACATGGTCATCAGCTAAAGCAGAGGTGAAAGGACATTTTGTATTTTTCACGTCGAATAGAACATTTCCCGCTCCTCAGTATTTTTCTTCTAGACTTTTTCGCGATGGTTTATAACAAAACAGTTAGCTAGCTAACGAGTTGTGAGAAGGATATCCCGGTAGGGGCTGGTGGGCACACGGGACACCCATCCAGCTGTCGCTGTAAAGTGTCGCGTGTACAACCAGTGGGCACACAAGCTCTGGCAGAGCGTGCAGACCCTTCGTTTGCAACACACACGTCCCTCAGATCGTGACGGTGTTCAGCCAAGTTCAGTGGGCTATTACTGTGGGGCATATTTGTTTTGTTGTTAATTATCCTTAAAGTGTGTTTTCGTAATCCCTGTTCCTTGCTCATTTTGAGTTATGAAGAATGAAGTTATGTACTTGTCATCTTATCAATGCAATTCAACTTTCAAATTTAGTTCTCCCTCCTTTTTAAAAGTGTTGCCATTGGAATAACATTGTACCAACCGACCCCATAGTGTGTGACCGCTGTCCCCGTGATGGGGTTGGATCTCAGTGTCTTTGATAGTCAATTACCCTCTTTGTTACAATACGTTGGGCCTTTTAAGCCAACAACTTGAGCTGCTATTCAACGTAGGAACGACTTTTGAATAATGTTTTGATGATGAGCAAATCACGCGGGAGTAGAAAGTGTGACAACCAACCCAGTTGTCCCCCACCTTCTTCTCTGTGTGACACACATCAATGGGGACATAAGAATCAAATTGTTAAACAACGTAATCAAAAATGCAGGGTATGTGTGGAGCATGACATGTCATTTGTAGGACATTACGTTAGAGTTGATGTTTGAGGCAGTTAATTAACCTCTACATGTGTTTGAGGCAGTCACTTTGTATCCTCAGCAGGCTTTTTGTCACCAACAAGTGAGTCGCCCCACCCACCCCTATGACTTGGTCCTAGTTAAGTTCTCACACTATTGTTTTGGTAGCTGCAAAACATGTGTGGGTGAAATATGTTAATAGAACTTATTATACAATACTAGATTTTTACATATTCGTAAAGGCTGCTCATTATCCCCCCACAGACTGACTACCAATGACAACAACTACACATACAACAAAGTTCATGGCTACGGCATTTCATTTATTTAAAATTACAAAAGTTAGCCCCTGTGGCGCATATTACATTTTCCATACAAAATAAGAACACAGGCATTCTTTTGTAACTATCAAAATGTTTCCCAAAAATATACAATACAATAATTGGCTTGTTAAAGAGCATTTTGTTGCATGTCTATTTAGATAGATGTAGGGAAATGTATCTAATGACTACATTTAAAAGACCTCGTGGCCCTATATTCAACAGTCGGTTGGCAATTCTACCAAGCCGGCACTATTTAATTTGCACAAGGTGCTACCAGGGGACTAGAGGAAATACAGAATTCTGCTGCAAACATACACTCATAATGATAAAAAAGAAACTTTAAAAACCTTAAAATATTTGTAAACATAGCAAATTGCAAATGGAACCCCACATTAGAAATCAGCTGCACCTACAGTGTGACATCACCTACAGGCTGCACAGGAGTCAATATGCTCCTATAAGTCAAACTGTGCACACTGGACCTCACTGCTCTGATTCCACATCAATCAGTAACCACACGCTTGGATGGCAAAGGTGAAAAGCTGCAATATAAAACAAAGTGGCAAACTTAACTTTTGCGAGAGATAGCAGATGGTCTTGTTGACCAGATACAAGCTATAGCTGTACATCAAAAAAGGGTATTAGACACACATGCTTTCTTAAAAACAACAACGGCGTGAGTTTTTTCTCATTAAATACTAAATCTCAATCCAGAATGGAGCATCAAGGCGTCACAGAAAAGCAGCATAACTTCAAGGGTTACGTCATGGCTACACTGTGATATGCGCATCGATAAATGTATTCACCAAACTCGTAAAAAAAATAATAAACCTCAAACCCAAAACCGTGTATCGCATTGGACATCATGCAGCATTTCCAGGCATTCGGTCTGAGCTGGCTGCTGCCACCAGGCACCCAATCTGACTGTTGATCAAACAATTCAGACACAAGCAGCCGGGCCTATTGTGAGCGACACAAAGACCACCACTGTGGCACATCTCTGCTCGAGCGAGTGGGGAGACTCAACATCGGCGGCCCCGAGCAGCTGCTGTGCGTGGGATAGTTTTAAGGTTCGGGCTGGCAACGCGTACCATCTAAAGCCATTCGCCTCTCCGCGGTGTTTAACATCCCCAGAGACAAAGGCTGCGGAGTGCTCACCGGGCCTGCCGTTTACTTCGGTCCACTGTCGGCTCTCGGGAGCCCAGCAAACTGAGACCTCATCGCGCCGCGTCCGTCGCCACAGGGGCCCTCTAGTCAGTTCTTGAAGGCCCCGTAGCGGCTGGCTTTGCTAATGAAGTTCTTGAGCAGGTCGTGGTCCATGTCTGCAAAGGCCTGGGTCTGCGTGACAGCCGTTAGGTGGTTGACGCAAAACTTGAAGCAGTACTCCTCCAGGTCCTAAAAACGGAAAGGGCTGTCTGGTCATTGCTGAGGAGTATAACTGTCTAGCTACTTGAGTAGGGGAGCGGGGGGGAGGAGAGAGGGGGGGCCCCCGCAACGCCACCACGGTGTTTGACTGTGTGCCAGGAGCTATGAGCTTACCCGCGCCTCATACTTGACAGCGGCAGAGAGCAGAGTGACGGCGTTCTCCTCAGAAATGCCTCTCTTGATTGTCTCCTGGCACAGCCTCTTCAGCCTGGTCTCCCGGTAGTAGGTGGCTAAGTCTAGCAGGCCTGCACACGGAAGGAACAGCCGACGGTGAGCTGGTTTAGGGACTCCCGCGTCGACTTTGAGTGTGTGCAGGAGTGCGGCGCCTTTGTTGGGCTTACCAATTGCATCCTCTGGTGGCAGGTTGATGGTGTCCGTGTAGAGGTACTCCAAAAAGGCTCGGTACACGAGGTAGGAGAACTGGTGAACTTCTACGGCATCCTCGTCACTTTCGTTTAGCAGTGCGCGGAAATGTTCACACCTGAGGCGGGAAGAAAGGGATCATAAGAGACGCCACAGGTAGCATGTGTTAGCCCATTCGTCATACCTTTACACTTTGTAAGAAAGGTGTGCTGACCAGTAGGTGGGATTATTACTGCATTAATCAATACCACACAGCACTCATTCAAAAATGAAAATGAAACGTGAATTTGCCAGAGGGAGAATAATGAGACTGGATGTTTGCTGTAATCACTCACACCACTCTGTCAACAGGGTCCTAATGACCTTTCCTAATGGAAATCAATGGACCAAATATATGAAGGAACAATACCTGCAGAAATCTCAAAACACAACCTTTGTAAACACTCAGAGTAGTTATGGAACTAAAACGTGCATGTAGTGCTTCTCATGTCTGAATGTAAATCGTGTTTTCTCTCCCATACTGTTAAATCTGAATCCCACCACTACCCCCACTAGACTGACACTGACAAGTATGTAGAAACAGCCATATGTAATATACTAGTATTGTAAAATTATAATTCCATGGAAAGAAAATATACATATATAGTCATGTACTCCTGTAATCCAACTGGAAATGCACTCTTAATGCACATTTCCTGCAGCAAGGCACTTCGCCAACAACTAAAACTTAAAGTATTTTTCCTTCCATCCCTCTGCATTGGAAATACTGATTACCATTTTTCCTTGCTACTAATCTCTATTGGCTCAAAACCCCGCCCCCTCCCATAATTTCGTCTCAGGATACGGTTGAGGCAAACAACTGAATTGTCATTTTCTAAGCATCTAAAACGTGTCGTATGCATGTGATCGCTCGCTTTGCATGCAGCTCCGTGTGAGCGCCGCAGACCGCATGGCTCCTTCCTACTGACGCTGCAGAAAGAGCAAAGGACACAGGACCTTGTGTTCAACTGTAGTTATAAAAAGCAAAGTAGGAAATAATAGGTCTGTCTTTTCTTCCCTGTGACATAAACAGGAAAGATGAGGATATTGAGTTTGGATATAGAAAGCATTCACTGGGTATATGCTGCACCCATTAGCAAAGTAAGACCAGCACCTCTATTACTCATGAGCAAGCCCAACCTCTAAATGTGAAAAACACACTCATGTGACTAATACGAAAGTCAGATTGGAGAAGCGGGATTTCTCTGGTGAGTAGGAGAGGAAAATTGTCTCTTAAAAACATGGTCGAGCAAATAAGAAAAGAGCACAGCGTCCCAACATCAGAGAGCGAAACCTGCAGACCAAGTGCATCCAAAAATACCAAGAACCAAAATAAGAAGTCTGATGTGAAATAAATCGTGTGCGAGCAAGTACAGCTCAAAATGCTTCAACATTGTGCACCTCACCAGTGACCGGTTGAATGGGAACCGTGTTGTTTTAAACTGCTTTTCAGGACAATCACTTTCATTTTTGAGGAGGCTTTACTGCACTGAAAATAAATTAAGTTAAAATAAGTTGAAAATTCTTTTACTTTGCGCCTCGTTGCTCTCCTTTTAAAGTACCTGATCTTCAGCAGCGCTTTGTGGACGTGGATACACTTCCCGTCAACCAAGAACTTGAGGTCGGAAATCTCCGGGCTGTCAAACTCCCTCTTCAGAGACTGAGCAACGGTCAGGTAGTCATCGCCATCTAAAATCAAAAGAGAAGTCAGTTCATACATACAGTCTGAAAGTGGGTAAACACTAAGTTAAAAGTGCTGTACAGTCCTGTAACAATAGTTCATTGTAAAAGGAACTTATGCGCATTCTTTTATTGAAATCTCGTAAATTATTATAAAACAAAAAAAAAAGATCCCTTTAGACCGCATGTATACGACTCTCCCCCCTGAACAGGTGACAAACAGAAACCGGTTGCACTTGCGAGTACACCAATGATTTCAGAGGCTTGTTTCACTACCGTTACAAAATGCAGTGTGCACAGAAAATGATCTTAGCAGGAAATGTCTGTGTTGCTCCGTTTGAGGCGAGTTCAAACGGAATCAGTCGATAAACACGCGATTGTTTGACATGCACAGGAAACAGACTTTCCTGTTTATTTCTTAAACCACTTCCAGGAATTTGCTCCTATGCGACACACATATATGACCATCTTTTACCTTGGAGGAGTAAAGGGGTGTCTTCAATGTTAACTTACCTACTGAGAGGAGGTGCCACGTGACGGCTGGGGTCGCGAAGCAGGCGAACACGTCGTCTGTGCTGCTGAAGTGGGTGAGGTGGGGGCTGGCCACAGCCTGACCTCGACACTGACCCCACATCAGAACCTGCCCGCTCTGCGTCTTGGCAGCTGACGTGTGGCTGGTGTGACATGCAGCCACCTCCACCATCCTGGGGAAAAACAAAAAAGTCAAACTTTAAACCACTGTTAATGTACAGCCGTCTCATGCAGAAGAAACAAAGAAGGCCCTCGACCAATCGATTTCTACAAAGCGCTCTAATACTCTAAAACTATTTATGCCTTTGAGGCATTTAGCTGCTAGATGCCTGAGGATCTTGTCACCAGCCCCTCTGTGACCTTTTGCTGTGGCTCAGGGCCTTTAGTGCTAATTCAGCAGCAGGTACTGACCTCTCCTTGTCAGTGTTTATTAGGGTGGGGAGAGCTTGGTTACTCTTGTTGCCCGTCCCCAACTGCCCATATGAGTTTGCTCCCCAGGCGTAAACCATCCCTTCGTCTGTGAGTGCCAACGTGTGTGCATATCCACAGGCAACCTGTGTGCACAAGGGATTGAGGCTGAAAGGGAATCATCAAAAAAACAAGAGATGTAGGAGACGTCACCCCAAGGCTCTTACCTGGACAATGTTGATACCTTGGAGAGCAGCGATCCTGCAGGGGGTCTGCTGGTTCCCATTGTTGCCCAAACCGAGCTGTCCATTGCAATTGTAGCCCCAACCATAGATCTACAGACAGGGGACACGTTTAAACAAGACATTGCCTTCTTTGTCTTCTTCTTCTCTTTTTGTTTAAGGTTACTTATTTTCTGCATCGATTGGCTTTTACCTCCATATATTTCAAGTGATCAGACAGTTAATTAGCATTTTATGTAAATCTGTCACGCCACTCTTTCAGTGGATGCGTTCAGAGAGGAACGCAGTGTTCCCGGTAGAGACAGCTCCCTTTCTAATGAACCGGTCTATTTAATAAATGGACATATAATCATTAGCCATGATGCTCATTCAGGTGTGTTACATAGCCAACCCCCTTTAAAATAAGATGACCGCTCACTACAAGTGACCTGGCGGCAGCACTGATTGTCTTGCTGTTTTACCCATTACCTCTCCGTTGTCCAGCACGGCCATAGAGCAGAGCTGACCACAGGCGATGTTCACCACCACTTTGTTCTGCAGGCAGCTGCTGACCCGCCGCGGTGTCGGCTGGTTGACCGTAGACCCAGAACCTACTTGGCCCGAGTTGTTGTAGCCCCACGCGAACACCTGAAAAACAGGAAGACATGTTCAACGGCCGAGGAGATGCACCGACTCGGACGAAAACCAACTGGCCAGAGGACGCGACCGAGGACGCGACCGACGACGCGACCGACGACGCGACCGACGACGCGACCGACGACGCGTTACCTCTCCATCAGTGGTGAGGGCAATGTTGTGGTGGGAGCCACAGGCCACCTCGGTCACTCGCTTGCCAATGAGGTTGGTGGACACCAGGGCGGGGGTCAGTCCGTGGTTGGTGGTGCCATTGCCCAGCTGGCTGTAGCCGTTATGGCCCCAAGCAAACACCTCTCCATCTACAGAGCAGCAGGCAAACAGTTCATGGTTTTTTTATAGTGTCCTGGCAGTATTGACATAAAAACAGATTCTAGAAATTTGCACGAGGCATCTTGTCGTTTGTGATGTCAAAGTCAAATATGGACTGGATTACCTGCAGTAGTGATAACCACATGTGGTCCAGTTCCATAGCTCAGGGACACAATCTTCTTTCCACACAACACATCAATCCGGCGCGGCTCAATGGTGCTTTGAAGGTCTCCGAGGCCTAAACAGCCGCTGCAGTTGGTGCCCAGAGCAAAGACCTGCAAAAAAAAAAGACCATTTCTGTTATTTAACAAAGCTCTCTAGTTCAACATGTTCTACCAGATGAAATTCTGCCTCCCAGATGATCACATGTGTGTAGTTTTGTGTTTACAATAAAATAAATCAACAGTGTCTAAAATAGACAATTTCTAAAGTGACTAATGGTTAATTTAGAAGATTTCATTTGTAGAAGAAAAACAAACTTTTATTGCAATTAATCAAAATTAATGAGTTTCAATTACTCGTGTGTCAAGTGATTTCAAGATCTCAGTGAAATATCTCTGTAAACACTTAAACCTCTTGGGCCAAAGGGATAAACGTATGAGCAAGAGTGGAGAGATGAGACACGGCCTTTGCCTCTCCAGAGGATAGAAATGGAGCTCGCTCGGGTATTAGGCCTGTAAGGCTAAAGATAGCCTCATTCTATCTGCTTATCTCTGAACCTGGAACCGCAAGCTACAGCTTTCCAAAGGCCTGCAGCACTTTTCTGTTCACTTCTAAATGTCAACGATCTGACCAATATTATGAAAGTATATTAGGTCTATTGGGTCTTGCACCACATCTTCATGTAAACAAGAGGATAGAAGCCAAAGTGTTACCTCGTCATTAACTGTGACATAGAGGGCTTCATTCGCAGCACTGCCAAAGACACAAGCCTGCCGTATAAGCCGCAGTTCTTCAGGAGGAAGGAGCGCGAACACGGGCCACTTCCCCACTTCCAGCATACTGCTCAGCTAGGAAACGAAGAGAAAACACTTTTGGACAAATGTGAATAGAAGTCATACAGAGATTTGATTTAAAAAATATCCATATCATTAATAAAGACAGAAAAAACACTTATGGAAATGTAAGAACCTAATACGCTTTACCGTGTCTTCACTGCACAATAATTCCTATTGTTGTGGTTTTTAAAGGACAAAGTTGTCAAAAAGACACTAAATGGAAAACATCTTTTCAGAACAATGTAAAACTAGACTGTTTAATGAATATGCTAAACTGTGACCAATGTAAACTGGAAGTTAACTATTGTCCAGTCTTAAGAAATCAATGCATGAAGTAAAAGATGAGAGACGGTTTTCCATGTCTCAAAAGTGGCCGACACAGAGAGCGAGAGGACAATTAGCCCGGTTGTGTCGACAGATTAAAACATGTATGCCTGTTTAAGTAAACTAATTGTATTTACTCTCAGCATGACCTCGACATGTTCCTCTGCTCCACCATATCTACAGCCTCAAATGGATCAACTCATTCTTCTTTTTTATTTACATCATGACACACAATTTGATAGGTATGTAATGAAGCTGATTTATCATCTTCACTCAGTTTGGTCCAGGATCAATACATACACAAACTAAAAGCTCAGTGGCAAAAAAATAAAATAAGGAAAAAGTAAAGGGAAAGGGGAAACATTTATCGTTTATTTATGATTCATTCTAAGCTGTAAAATTAATTAGGAAACTTTGTCCGAATTTGTCCTGGCAAAAATGGGGCAATTGTCTATTCGATGATGAATCGTTATACTTGGCAGGAGCCCTGACCTGGTGAACACCACGTCTTCCTAACTGCAGAAAGACGTGCAGCACTTTACCTAACGTTAATAACGCTAACGCTAGATCAGACAATGGCAAATCACTTTACACAACACTAAACTAACTAGCCAAGTTGGCATGCAACTAACTAGTAAGACGTTGCCAATATGCATTAGTCCTGACTATACAAGTAAACATTTCAACAGAAAGCATTTAAGCTAATTATCGCCGTTGGGAGCTGCAGCTGACGTAAACGTTACCTTCGCGTTGTCCTAGCTAGCGTTTCGTCCGCGGTGCCGTTTTCTAATCCCTACACACTGAAACATTGACAGTTTGTCGACCAACATTATTGGCGAGTCAAGTTGCAGATGGAATCGTCTCGGCAGTCTGCTACGGATCTATCCTCGCATCGGTTGCTGTGGTTGCACCTTGTTATGGTTGGTTAGCTTCGGTCGCTACGCCGCCGACTGACCAAAACGCATCACCGTACTTCCTGTTGTAACATGGTGCGTTCATGAATGTCGGAGATCGGAGCGCTTAACGTGTGCTATGGGGGGAAATGATCACACCCACCTGTCAGTAATGTAAATGCAGTTAGATTATTTCAATCGTGTTTTGGGAAGCAGCTGACTATATAAAAAGTTGCGGATCAAATACATACACATCCATGAGCCAAAGTAAACGGTTGCAAGAAAACCTAGTCGCTGTATTATCATTGCATATTGTATTGGAATACATGGAAAAACGTTTTACTCAGATTAAATACAGATTAGAGTTGCGATGATAAACAATTTAGAGACATTTTGTGTTGATTTTTCATTTGTATGTATCCTTACATTATACAATTTAAACCCTTACAAAATCACACTTTATTTATTTTGCAAGATTAATATCATGTGAACACTATTCATACTGCCCGCAGATGCACCTGATGCAAAGTAAAACTTTCATGACGCTGTTTATTATGTGATTGTATCAAAGTTCGTTTATAGTGAAAACAGACACACATGTCACACCTCTCCATGCAGCTCTGATGCTCATGACATACTAGAAAACAATTGTTGGATGCAATAGAAAGTGTAAAAGTTAACCTCACGGTGGTGCCAAAGGAAGGGTCATATTGTATGCATTTTAATGTACATACAGTCGGCATGTTAAATTCTGCTTATGTGTGGGTATTAATTGTGTTGATGAGTCTGTGCTTATAAATCTATCATGTTTACATGACAGATTTAAGTGCATTGTCCCCTCTTAACTATAATTGAAGAAAAAACGATAATACTATAGGATGTTAGCTGCATATTGGCATGAAGACATTCATATTTAGCTTGCAACATGTTAGTGTTTATTACATGTTGCCTTGGATTAAACACCCTTCGACACCCTCAATCTCAATTCCTTTTCTGTGATATGTATTTGTCAGAATAACAGCAAGCATGCTGATATTTCAGGTCCCCAATTAGATCTATATACTTAGGATTCAACAATGCTTGACATTCACAATATTCTCCCTGTTGTATTCTTTCGTCGCCAACAATCTTAACCAATCGAAGCATGGCACATTAATTATTGTGCATGTAATAATTACATATTATTATAGTATTTTCACCACATCCACATCTACAAAACACACCTTTAGCTTCAGTGTCACATCATTTCAGTAACTCCGTGGGCTGCAAAGGACTTGAGTGAACATACTTGACTGTTGTTTCAAGACAATTTCTTTCTCTCTCTACTGACTTGCACCGTCATCATCTTCTCACCGTGAATATTGTCTTGGAGAGGGATTTTACTTGAGGAAAATATTCAGAACTTAGGCTAATAATGAACAACCGTGTGTGTGTAATGTGAATAAGTTAGGACATTGATATGTTCACATCTAAATCAAATGTTTTTCCTGCCAGGATAACTCAACCTGGTGTTGTTTGGCTAGTATCTATTTTTGTTCATAGACCAACAAAACAATTATGTTTATGTTTATGTTTATTAGACAACCACTTATAAGGTGATATGGTTCAAAACAATATAAAGAACTCAACAAAGGGACGACAAACGCTTTACCATTTAACTGAAATGCAAATACATTGTTTATATATGTACAGCAACCAGCAGGTGGCGCCATGGATGGCCTTATAAACCTTATGTTGATGAGCTGGTATTTTATTTGAAAAAAATGCATAGCATGTGTCGATGAGTAGGATTGTGTCTTAAAAGAAATCCTGAAATAATATTTAAAATAGTCCTCGTACACCTTTAGCCTTCATATTACACATGGTGTTTGCACATGTTTGTTTCTTGGATAAAATAAAAATACCTTATTTAAGTAATGTTTTATTTATTGTATGTAATAGTAAGCTCATTATATATTGTTTGAACTCACCAACGGATGTAATTTAACAATTGTTCTGTATGTCTAAGTTGGAGTTTGTCACTGTTGCATACTTTGTAATGTGAAGGGCTTCACACAACCAAGGCTCTGCTCTGTGAAGTATGTGATACAGTGTTGTGACGATTGATTGATTTACCGTCTATGATGTAATCTGTCAAACCGTAGAATCAATATCCGGGAACCTTGTGATAACCGGGGGTTAGCACCATAATTATATAATATAAGACATGTTGATGGATGTATAGATACATGGATAGATAGATAGATAGATTATCACAAGCCATCTCTTAATACATAAAGAAATGCATAAAACATATTTGAAACGCCTTTATTTCGCGTTGACTAATCGATCCTTGAAGTAAATCTATTTGAATTACAAGTACGCATGGTCAAAATAATGAATCAATATCGATAAATTCCTTTGAAGGCAATATGATGCCGTGAAGGTCTGGAAATTCCAATAAGGCGTGGGCCACGAACCAGTGCTAAAGGTCGCATCTTCAATTGAATGTGTTTCTTACTGTTGCTTTATTGCGACTTGCTTTGGTCATCAAACAGATCAGGGACACGTCAACCTTAAAACAAATACAACAACCTAGAAATATAGATTGACCGATTAAGTTGATTTCAATTATACAGCGTTCTGATCCGAACAACGACACGAGCTAAATTTAAACAATGTGACGATATAACAAATGTTTATCTTCGCTTTCTCGGAATTTTGGGATTCGTCACGATTTGCGGTGACACGCGCATGCGCACACAGAACCCCGTAAGCGATGGTGAAATTCCTGACTTTTATACGAGGAGCAGGGTTTGATGGACAGCTACCTCGATAAAACTGGCAACCAGGCCGACATTATCGATGCCTAGAGCCGCCGCCGTGTCCCGCTAGTAACTTCGCTCTGTTTTAGGTGCAGTCAAAGCGAGCGGCCGTCGTTCAAATTACGAGAAAAGCAAATCTTCATCTTGCTAACTCTTAGCCTTTGGGTAGCACCAGGTAGCTAACGCTTAGCATGTCACATTTTGCCTTGTCTTGTGTTTATCCAGGGTAGCTAGCAAGGTAACCGCCCCGGGGTGCCGCAGAACAACAGAAAAAGTAAGCTGGTCATCGGAGCTCGTTGACGTTAAACGTTTCGGGGAGTCATCGGCGTGACGGTCCAGGCTGCTGCCGCCGAGCCCACTGACAGGGTGAGTAGCGTTGACGTTAGCTGCCAATAACCCACTTAACGTTACGTGGCTGCGTTTTACACGGGCAGCTACTGCAGCTACGCGCTCTTAAGGGTCATCGTTTGCGAATGAACTTTAGAGAACTTCCATGTAATGTTGGAGTTAGATACGGAGCAGCTAACGTTATGACATAACGTTAAGGACACACACACACACACACACACACACACACACACACACACACCTGTCGCTAGAGTAAACAATCGCCTCGGCCTGCTGCAAGCTAACCTAACTGTGGGCAACGTTAACGTCAGCCATAGCCAGAAAAGCTAAAAGATCATCAACTTCCTCCGCTTTGTTTTCCTTCTGCGGAATGTCAAACGCGCTCGTAATTGGTGGCGCGTTACGTAGTAAGACGGCAGAGACCGGCTCGGCTCGGCGGGCGACGGGGAAGTGCGTGTAAACAGCTGTTCCACCACGCAGCCTTTATCAGAAACTGACGTTATTTTGCCCCGATCATTTTACTTGTTTTTGTTTTGACCCACGCCCAAGTGGAATAGACGTAACGTCAAGTCTTGGCTGGGCGCAGGGTTCTTGTTTTCCCTTTCGCACCCAAAACTGTAACTGAAAACCAGCTGTTGTTCCCGAGTTGACTCCTCCGTCAGCCGCAGTCAACAACAGATGTTACCACAATATCCACGTATAAGTCATGTCTATGGTGCTGCGACAGGGAAGGCGGTGCACAGGCTTTAGTGCAATTACCTCTGATTATTTATTGTCAACTTTTTATTACCACATTGTTTTCCGAGAGTCCAGGATCTAAGAAGGGAGAGTACTTAGTTTATTGCATGAAACATGGCACTGATTCAGTGACAGGGCCGCTCTTAACACTGAAAACAGGAGTGTAAAAACACTTGACTCCACCATTAATGAATGATGTCATTTGTGGACAATATATCATGAATATAGTTTTTTAACGTAAGTATAGAATACTGTTTAGAGTTTCATGAACGGTGGGCGGTCAACAGGAGCCTCTGTGATCAGGGATTCCCCCTTTGTGTCGAACCCATAGCTGGCTGCTGTGTGAACTACGGTCTTCGCAAATGACTTTACGCTTGAGCAGGAGTCAACGGGGAATTGCCTGGTGTTGGAGGGTAATATGCCAAGTGATGATATCTCATGTCGGTCCTCCACTGCTATTGATGGTTCCGTCAAAGCCATTATATTGACCATCGCACGGCGAACTGACACTGTTTAAGCTTAAGGCCGGGAGCGGCTAAAGCTAAGAGATAAGCCAGATCACTGAGATTTAGGGGCGCATGCGCTAGATTGTAATTAGGTTCAAGGACACGTGTTACAATTCTGTCATGGTGTACTGTTGTTTGTTGAAATAATGTGATGTTCTTGTTACTTATATAAGTCATCATCCAGTGTAGCCCTTTATAGTCATATGCCATGGCGTGTAGGTACTCTCGTAGTGTTTGACTTGACATCTACTTCGGTAAAGTACCTCAATGTTGCATTTGTCGTCTTGAAATTACTAGACATTCTATGTCACCATGGTCATCTTTTGGATATTTGTGGTTATTTGTTATGTGGATTATAAGGATTTGAGCACACATTGGGTGCCAGTACGTACTTTTATTTGTTACGTGGCCTGACAGACAATTCATTTTGTCATCTGAAGGGGTTTAGCTTTTTCTCATATACAACAACAATTACTAATTACCTTCTCTTCTCAATAGTTCCCTCATTTTTGTTAAACACTAGGATCTGCAGACCTGTTGTTTTGATTAATAATTCGGTACTACATGTCAGCTGAAATACTATGTACCAAATACTATGCACAGTATTCCATCTCATGTCTGGTTTGTGTTTTCCTCTTTAATTGTGACATGAAAAATGTTTATTTTGAACTTGTTAAGGTGAACATTCAACATATATCAGAGGGAAGCTTCTCACAGGATT